CAGTTAGACTGTTTTAATTCTAAAACAACAACAACAGAAGTGTGGGTCTTACTACAAAGTAAAGATAGTAAGAAGTAAAAATATAAAATTCTTATGGTACTGGTACTAGTAGTATTACACACAAATCACACAAGTTTATCATTCTAAATACTGAATCATATTTTTATTATGAACTAAATATAAAATTATGCTAAATTATTGAACTTAAAACTACAAATTTAAATTCAAAAGAATATAAAAAATCATAAACTCTCTCAGTTCAAAGTATTAAGCCTAATTCAAGTAAAGACCTTGCACTCGCCAGTCGATAGCTCTTAACCCTAACAATCGTGGATCAACTTCTTTCCAAGAAAATATATCTATTTTCAGTTAATATTTCAATATAATGATTAATATAAATAGATATATGATACAGCATGACTTAAGCTACAATATAAAAATAATAAAAGTCACATACATACCATGCAGTTTTTCCAGAAGCAAGTTTTCTAAGGCTTATAAAAAAAGTACTATTGACCAATACTAAATACAAACTCTACATAAAATGGCAGTTCCTATAATAAGCACCACCCACATTCATATTCTAAAATCCAGAGAACACCATTTTGTCACATGCTTTCCTTATCATCCTATGATTTGTCAAACATGAAATACAGCAATTGGAATAATATGATACTGAAATTGCCACCTTCAACTAGGATTGGCTAAAAGTTTTACAACTGAGGTTTAACACACCCAGATGCTGTTTTATAAAGAAAACAGACTAGAAAAAGGTTTAGATATCAATCATCGATGGCAGGACCAATGCCAAATGTTGAAAAAAAAATTCTTCTTAGATGGTGCTTATTTATAGTCTCAAACATATTTTGGGATTTTTTGTTATTGAATCCCTCTTTAAACTTCATTAAATAATACAATTTTGTACAAATAATTGAATGTTATGCCACTATTTACAAAAATAAAATCTGAGATCCAATAAAAGATAAGTTCTCTATAATTTTTTAAATTCACAAATGTGATTTTGCCCTCATGATAAGACAAAATGGCCCCCGGTATGTAATGGGTTAAGATATGCTGGATTGATGACAGGTTTGTCAGATCTGATTAGGTAAAGGATTTGGAAAGGTGGAACATGATTAAGGTATGCTAGCTTGATTATAGGTTTGTGAGGTGTGATTAGGTAAAGGATTTGGAAAGTTGGAACACGATTAAGGTATGCAAGCTTGATTACAGGTTAATGAGTTGTGGTAAGGTAATAAGGATTTTAGAATAATTGATGACAGGTTTGTCAGGTGTGACTAGGTCAGGGATTTGGAAAGTTGAAACACAATTAAGGTATTAGAGGATTGTCATATGTAATTAGATCAGGGTTAATACCTGAGGTGTGGTTAGGTCAGGGATTTGGAAAGTTGGAACACAATTAAAGTTTGCTAGCTTGATTACAGGTTTGTGAAGTATGATTAGGTCAGGGATTTGAAAAGATGGAACATGATTAAGGTGTGACAGCTTGTTACAGGTTTGTGAGGTGTTATTAGATCAGGGATATGGAAAATTCAAACACTATTAAGGTATGCTAGCTAGATTAGGTCAAGAATTTGGAAAGTTGGATGTATATATACGTTGTAGTTTTCTTTCAGAAAAAGATGCACCACAATTCAACATTTAAAGCTTAAGAATAAAAATTAAAAATTGTCTCCCATATAGGACACACGGGAAGATGCCACTGGCAACACCATCACTACAGTGGATAACGATGCCAATTGTTTTTATTCATATTTGTAGGGGATAATCTAAAAACCTGTAATATCATGAGCTTACCTGGATACTTACGTGGCATTACATCATTCCAAAGTTTTTTATAAAGTCTTCAGAGCAGACAAGAAATCCAAACTGCTAGTTTTCTAAATGACAGTACATGCGCAGAAAAATTCTAACACTATATACTATTTATATATATATATATATATATATATATATATGTATAAACAAAGTACACACAAAAGATATATCAGTGAATCATTTGTTAACACAAAAAGGATACTTTCCTGTCGACGTTGAAGATTGCCAGTCTCTTGGTATACTGGAAGAATTGTCTGTTCCAGCTTCATCAGACGTTCATCAAATGATGTCAAAATTGAGCACATTCCATTTGTTAACTGTTTACTCTTGCCAATTGTCTTTTTCAATTGATCAAGATTGTGTGTCTCCTGAACAGAGTTAACCAAAATATGAGGTCATTATAGGATGATAACAAAAAAATTACTTTCATGAAAATAATATCAGAATTCAGAACCTCACATGGAGTTATTGGAAAATTAAAAACTTTTACAAGAATAATAATGTCACAGGGTTCTCCCTTTTAGCATATTGCTATTGACTTGTTTTTATTTTCACATGTATGCTCTTTTGAGCATTGATACAGTAAAATATATACTCACACTCTTCTTTTGGTACGTAACACTAATGAGCTATTTACCATTTGTCCAGAATAAGCATACCAAAATAAGTGCAGACACTCGGAACAATATTCACACTGGTTCCTGTAATAAGCATTCTACCTTCTCTCCCATGTCTAGTCTGAAATATTACTTAATTTAAGAGCTTTACTTACCTTCTGGGTAAAAACCTTGTGTTATAACATAGTGGGCTTGTAGTTAACATATGATAAAATACATAAAATAATGGAAGAACTTAGGGTCTCATGGAACATCATTATCACATATCAAATTATATACAGAATGTTTAAACTTAAGGACTGATGTAATCATAAGATAGGAATACACAAGGTTATTCATGTTATATTAAAACCATTTTGGATATACAAATCAGCAAAACAAGTGATAACCCACATTAATGAGATTGGTTTCAGGGGGGCAGTCTTTGAAATCCAACAATACTGGACTTTTAAACCATTGTTAATGTGATAACCTTATATGTTTTATGGACAGATGACTCACCAACCAACCAACAAATCTTGTTTAGCACCTACCAAATTATACATATATCACTTGAAATCAGTCAATTTCCTACCTTGTTTGCAAACACAGTTATATGGAGACACTGATTAAACATGGAAAATATTCAAAGATAAATTTTTAAATATTCAAGATAAACATATTCCATATAGAAAGAAAAGGAAGGCTGCAAATAAAAAAAAAACTAGGTTGGTTCATAAAGGTTACAAAGGATAAAATTAAAGAAAAGCATCACAAATTTAAGAAATTTAAATTGACTGGTATGACAAAAGATTTAGAAAGTTATAAAAGATAAAAAAAATTGGTCAAACAGTAAATTATGACATCAAAATGTTGACTGAAAATGTAAAAATTAACAGTGAGGATTTCTTTAAATATATGAAAGGTAAGCAAAATGTCAGGATGGGGTTAGAGCCCTTGAGGGATGATAAAGGAAGTCTTGCATCTGATAATTATGAGATGGCTGGGTTATTAAATTCTGCTTTTTCTTCAGTTTTTCTAATGAAGATTTAAGCAATATTCCTCATCCTGAACAGTTTATAGATGGAAACAAAATTGAAAAAGATTATCACATTATTTCTAAGCTTCTTAAGTACAAATTGGAAAGTTTAATGAATGATAAGGCTCCTCAGCCAGATAATATTTCCCCCTAAGGGTTTTGAAAGATGTTAAAGATATGTGAGCCACTTGCTACTACTTTTTGGCAAGTCCTTGAATAGTGGGCTGGAACCAGAGGATTGGAAGCTGGCTAATGTTACTCCTCTTTTCAAGGAAATTGATAAACATTTTCCAAGTAATAACAGATCTATGAGTCTTACAACAGTTGTGGGAAAAGTTTTGGAAAGTCTGATAAAAGATGCTTTGCAAAGTCAGTTAAAAAAGATTTGAATTTTATTGGATACTCAACATGGTTTCACTAAGGGAAAATCTTGCCTTACAAATCTTTTGATATTCTTCAAAAAGGTTACTGGTTGTGTAGACGAGGGTAAGGGTGTAGATTTGGTATATCTGGATTTTCAGAAAGCATTTGACAAGATGTCACATAAAAGGCTTGTAAAAAAAAGTAATCTCTATAGATGTAGGCAATATGTTGGCTAACTAGATAGACGGAAGAAAGTAGAGGGTTGTTACAAATGGAGTTCAGTCAAACTGGATTAATGTTACAAATAGGGTACCTCAGGGCTCAGTCTTAGGACCTTTGCTCTTTTTGATTTACATCAATGACATAAATGAAAGAATGGTCTATAAATGCCTTAAATTTGCAGATGATATTAAGTTCTTGGATTTTGCTGGCTGTAAGAATGCTGCTGCTTTACAAAAGGATTTAGATCATTTAGTGAGTTGGGCAAATAAAGAACAGATGGGTTTTAATTATAACACATGTGGATTACCATAATTTGAATTATAAGCATAATTTTGATGGGAATAACCTTAACAGTGTTATGGAAAAAAAGGATCTTGGTGTAATGGTTGATCAGTCCCTTAAGCCATCCAAGCAGTTTGCAGTTGCTAGTGGTAGGGTAAACAAGATTTTAGGTTGTATCTACATAAATATTGAATACATGTCTTAAGAGGTTATAACTTCACTGTACAGGTCACTGGTTAGCCCACATTTGGAGTATTGCATTCAGTCTTGGGCTCCTTACCTCAGGAAGGACATTGAATTGTTGGAAAGGGTTCAGAGGAGAGTTACGAGGATGATACTTGGGTAAAACGGTTGTCAAATGAGAAGAGACTAAGATCTCTGAAACTGTTTTCTCTTGAAAAAAAGAAGAGTTAGAAGAGATCTGATTGAGGTGTTTAAGATTGCAAAGGGAGTTGATAGTGTTGTAGTATTATCTTTTTCATACTTAACAGTGAAAATGGTAAAACTAGGGGATACAATTATAATTTTGGTAGAACTAGGGGACACAAGTATAATTTTGGTAGAACTAAAGGACATAAAGTATAATTTTGGAAGAACTAGGGGACACAATTATAATTTTCGTAAAACTAGGGGACACAATTATAATGTTGATAGAACTAGGGGACACAATTATAATTTTGGTAGAACTAGGGGACACAAGTATAATTTTGGTAGAACTAGGGAACACAAGTATAATTTTGGTAGAACTGGGAGATACATTTATAATTTTGGTAGAACAAGGGAACACAAGTATAATTTTGGTAGAACTGGGAGATACATTTATAATTTTGGTAGAACAAGGGAACACAAGTATAATTTTGGTAGAACTGGGAGATACATTTATAATTTTGGTAGAACAAGGGAACACAAGTATAATTTTGGTAGAACTGGGAGATACATTTATAATTTTGGTAGAACAAGGGAACACAAGTATAATTTTGGTAGAACTAGGGAACACAAGTATAATTTTGGTAGAACAAGGAAACACAAGTATAATTTTTGGCAAGGTAGGAATCATCTTAAGCTAAAAGTTTTATTTTTCTAAAAGAGAAGTTGACCTTTGAATGTAGTGGAGGCAGTAAATTTAAGTCAGTATAACGGAAGGCTTTATAAATATATGAGTGATAAGGGCTGGCTTTCAGTTTTTTGTTTAGTGGATGGGACAGCCTAGATGGACCAGTAGGTAATTAAATATTCTATTATTCAGAAAATTATTGCATCTAGCAACAAAACAATCACACTGTGTATTTAATTGAAATATATATGGTGAAACAGATGGAGTCACTATGGGATCAAGATTAGCACCAGTCCCGGCTTACCTGTTTTTATGTCATTATGAAAAATAATGTTTTGAAGAATTGAAACCTCTTTACTGTGTAGAAGACACTATTGTTTTCAAACAGAAAGAATATATATAACAAATTTTGGATTATTCAAATAGTAAACATAAAGACATAATATTTACAGTAGAACATGAAGATGAATACAAGTTACCACTTTTAGATGGTATTAAATAAAAATAACATTGGGACATTAAATTTGAAACGCATCACAAAAAGGTTTTTACAGACTCGTATTTGAACTATGATAGCTTTATTCCAGGTTTCTATTATTCATTTAGTTATGATCTTAGTCTATCTTAGTCAGGTACTACGTATATTATAAAATTTGATAGCATCAAAAAGTTTTGAGAAAAAATTAGTTTCCATGTAAAATTATATATATAAATTTGTTACTGACCACAAGTCTCCAAGTAAAATAATTACAGTTAACAAAGACATGTCTATTCTTT